CCTGAGTATGTTTACAGGCACTTTTGTGTATAGTTACGCCCCATTCACAAGGGGCATCAGTGTCAACGCTTCCCATACACTTTGAATGGGTGACGTCAAGCGTTGCCGAACTGAATTGTGGGTCCCTCTGCACTGCTTTAGCTCGCTGCAGAAGTTAAGAATTTCTCAACTGAATCGACGTTGCTTTAGTTCCAACTTCAGACATGCATCTGTCAAGCGTTGACGCTGAAACCAGTGTGAATTAGGCGTTAGCCAGCCAGGTTCAAACAACTGCTCTCAGTACAGAATACAGGTCTATGTGAGTATCAACTGAAAAAGACTGTATGGAGCTGATCTGCGGGAATAGTAGCAGGAATGTTTGTTTATGGAGTGTCTTTTCTGGTTAGGCAAATTAGAGCAATTTCTATTGACAACAATGTGTTTTGGGTAAGTTAATGAGTAGTAGTTTCCTCTAAGTAAGGACTCATCCTACTTTTGCTTGGTGGTAAACCTTTAAACTTCCTAGAAACGTATGTGTAGGACGAGGATCATATGTAATTATAAGAATTAAATTATACACAAGATATGACTAAAAGTAAATTTGCCCTCCAAAAAGGAGGGGGTGGTGGTGGGCTTATATATATTAAAAACATACTGCTTTGTCAGGTGTTAAGAAAATCTACATTTTGTGAAGACCCTCAGATGTTTGCGTCTTTAGCGTTTCACACTATGGATTCTGCTGAGCTTCACATTGTTCCAGTATTCTCCATTATCTTGTGTTGAGCAGCTGCACATGATTTAAAGCAGCATAAGGGCAAGTCAGTCCTGTCAGAATTTTCATATTGGATGAACTATGCATTTAATGTCTGTGGATGTGAATATCACAACCCAGTCTGCATCAGTGACTGCGAATACATGTCCAAGGATAATCCCACATTATTCCCCAAATCTCAGTAGTCAAATCCCATTTATTCCCTCTGATTGAGTAATTTTGGGAGTAAGCTGTTTATATGCCCTTTCAATGTCCCCGTTATGAGTCTGCCATTTATCCAGGATGAATCTTCCTATTCATAGCACTGAACAATGCCAATCTTCATCAAAACCATCTGCTGTCATTCTTAGTGCTGTTTTATTGTGCAGATAAAAAAGCATGTGCTTTTCATTTGTGCATCTTTCGGATGTCTTATTTTTAAATGACCAGATAATGTTGAGCGTTGACAGTTCAGAATGGCATTCAGAATCTACAATTTTCCATAATGTGAAATAGCCATGATCTAAATGAGAGGCTTTTCAGATATAGTGAACAGCATGTTGCGTCTGAATGAGACATGTGATGACGGAGACGTTGCAGTATGTTGTGATCAGAATATAGATGTGCTCATAAATTCATGCGCTTTGATTTCATGTGTTCGTATGAAATGCTTTCACCTCTTATACCTACAAAGACCTGAGTGGTACTGTATTATATGAAGAAACTGAATATCTGTCTGTTCGTAAAAAAAATTATTTTGTCTTTTTTTTAGTCTAAATATCTAAATTCCTTAATTAAGAAGCGTTTTCTAGTCAAGTAAAAACAATATTGTCTTATTTTGAAAATAATATGTCTAAATCAAGTTTTTACTTAAAACAAGCAAAATAATTTGTCAATGGCGTATGCTAAACAATCTTGTTTTTGCTATGAAATAAGATTATTTCGCTCGTTTGTATAATTTTACAGCCCTGTCTGCCTTTTGCTTAGTGTCAACTTTTAAACTTCCTGGAAATGTATGACTGGGGAAGATGACCATATGTAAATATAATAATTAAATTAAACACAAGCTATAATTAAAAGTTAATTTGCCCTCCTAAGATGAGGGGGTGGTGGTGGGCTTATATATTAAAAACATAATGCTTTGTTCGATGTTAAAAAAATATTACATAAAACAGGCTAAATAATCTGCCAATGGGGTATGCAAAGTAATCTTCAATTTGCTTTGAAATGAGATTATTTTGCTAAGCTTATTTGCAGATTGTTTCGCTTGTTTTTATAAATTTACAGTTCTGTCCACATTAAATCATTCATTCATTCATTTTTGGCTTAGTTTCTTTTTTAATCTGTGATCGCCACAGTGGAATGAACCGCCAACTTATCCAGCATATGTTTTATACAACGGATGGCCTTCCAGCTGCAACCCATCACTGGGAAACATCCATACACACTCAGACACTACGGACAATTTTAGCTTACCAAATTCACCCATACCACGTCTTTGGACTTGTGGGGGGAACTCAAGCACCCGGAGGAAACCCATGTTAACACGGGAAGAACATGCAAACTCCACACAGAAATGCCAACTGACCCAGCTAAGACTCAAACCAACAACCTTCTTACTGTAAGGCGACAGTGCTACTTATTGCACCACCGCGTCACCCTTTGCAGGAAATCAGTTTAAAACAATTAAAATAAAGGTTATTATGAGTAGCCTATTATTATTGTTGTTCTCAAACATATGGTAAACAACAATAATAATATTAGGCTTGTGTGTAGGTCTACCGTTGGTTACAATGCTCAATTTTGTATAGACTTTGAATAGTGGAGATATATGCTGTCATTTGTCATTGAGAACATTATTAGACAATTTTTTCACTGGTAAAATGAGAGAAATTTGTCATTATCAGATTCCCACGCATTATAATCAACATTATAGACTAGAGTAATTATGCTGACACTGTTAAACATTTATTTTCATGCACAATACTTTGTGTTCGCTGTGAAAGAAAAAAAACTAACGTTTGTCGTGATCATAACCCCAAAATGTGATATAATTGTTTAAATCATATGTACGCCGGTTTCACTGTAGATCATACTTACAAGCGATCGCTCTGTGCAACAAACTAAACGTTATTTACAACTTTATTACTTGTTTTTCACAGCCTATGCAGGTTCTGTTCACTAAAGTAGAGTGCATTGAGGCATGCGCGTGTCCTCTCGGTAGTAAACAAACAGCTCGCAGTCAGCTTATGCGTGATTTTGCATCCGCAAGTTCATTATATTAAGACAGAAATTACATTTTTGGGTGGATTATACCTTAATAATAAAATATGCAACACCTTTAAAACCATTTGGTGGTGTCCATGTTGCTGAGCAATGTATGTAAAACAATGTGAAGAATTGTGCGGCAGCAGTTACACTTCTCTCCTGAACTTGAATTGGCTGAATTGTAGAAAAGCTGAATGAAGATAGTGTTTAGGGTTGAATCCAGATCGTGATTAATCATGCAGCCTTAGTGTGTGATCATATTTTTGTCATTGTACCTGCTTATTTATTGTGTGTGTATGTCTCATTCTGTCTCAGTCTCTCTCATATGTAAAATGTGCTGAGGTTTGGAGTTGATCCATTGACTGGATGCAGTAATCATCCCCATTGCCGGGCAGTCGGAGGTGTTTAGAGCTCAGCAAGGGGGAAATGAAGAGGTCTCACGCTCTCAGCGGCTGCATTCTGCGGCTGCAGGATTAGCTAATGCGATTAGCTGCGTCTCACAATCAGCCGAACTGAATGCATGTTGTAATTACAGCACCTCAATGGGAAAGGTGTGTGTGAAAGATTAATGCAGGTGAATGGCAGGCTGTGATAGATACGCTCTGCTAACATGCTCTTCATAGCCAAGTGTGTGTGTCTGTGAGTGTGTGCATGCGTGTTTGCAAATGGGACTCCAGCTCATCTGCACACATGCGACCTATACTTGCCAAATGAGCTCTGAGCTGGGAGTGAGGGACTGTAATACTTCAGATCTGTTTATATTTTTCATGGTAATGTTATAATTTTGCGATCCCAGTGATTCTAGATAAGTAAGATCCAGAAATTGTCAATGCTATTCTGCATGACAGTAAAGCGAAATAATTTGAGATGATATATTAGACTGTTAAACACTGAAGGATCGTTGTACCATTTGTTATGTTGGTATCATGAGACAACTAAGTCATAATCTCATGGCAACCAGACAGAGACCAATAATAATGCATGGCCTCTCTGGGCTTGAGTCATTATCTTTGCAAAATTCTTCTTTAGTGCCACTATGGATTTGAAATCTCTGTACTATTCTAGGACGCTGTCTTTTGTCTCATGAAATCAGCACGACATATTTCCACACAGGATTTCTCACAGCTTCAGTTCCATACTGAAAATCAATGGACATGCGGATTGACTCCAGCTGAATCGCTGCCCGTTCATTTAGCTCTGATTCAAGACGTTTCTAGCTTTTTTTCCACACAGTTTGCAGTCTGCCTTCTGCCTTTGCATTTTCTTTCGGTCCGTGATGGAGCCACATCAGACGTGCGCAGCTGAGTGGGAACATTGACTGTGAATTACAAGGGGGTGTGATTACAAAGGTAGAAGTGGTCTATATAAAGATTAAAAGAGCTACAGGATTGTGTGTAATAACTCTAATCAGACATTTGGGTGTGTAAATTACCCGTAAATAAGGCGCTGTGATTTCCATGTTGTGGAAAATGCAGACAGAATAACAGAATTTATCCTGTTTAATGCTGAATGTCATGGAATTTGTCAAAATCTGGATGAATTAATCAGGGCTGCTTGGTATGCATAATGTGTATTCTTAAAGTGGCAAAGAAGTGAGAGTACTTCTGCACAGTGGGATGTATTTATCAAGGTTATAAAATCGTTAGGGCGAGGCAGTGGCGCAGTAGGTAGTGCTGTCGCCTCACAGCAAGAAGGTCGCTGGTTCGAACCTCGGCTCAGTTGGCGTTTCTGTGTGGAGTTTGCATGTTCTCCCTGCCTTCGCGTGGGTTTCCTCTGGGTGCTCCGGTTTCCCCAAAGTCCAAAGACATGTGGTACAGGTGAATTGGGTAGGCTAAATTGTCCGTAGTGTATGAGTTTGTGTGTGTGTGGATGTTTCCCAGAGATGGGTTGCGGCTGGAAGGGCATCCGCTGCGTAAAAACTTGCTGGATAAGTTGGCGGTTCATTGCGCTGTGGTGACCCCGGATTAATAAAAGGACTAAGCCGACAAGAAAATGAATGAATGAATAAAATCATTAGGTGACATGGTGGCTCAGTGGGTAGCACTGTCTCTTCACAGCAAGGAGATCACTGCTTCGAGTCTTGGCTGGGCCAGTTGGCATTTCTGTGTGAAGTTTGCATGTTCTCCCTGTGTTGGTGTGGGTTTCTCCGGGTGCTCCGGTTTCCCCACAGTCCAAATATATGTGCTATAGGCGAATTGAAAAACTTAAATTGGCCGTAGCGATGTGTGAATAAGCGTAAAAGCATCTTAAATTTAGTGTCAAATAATAGAAACGATGAATTAACATTAAATTGAAAAAGTCAATCTACTCGACATGGTTTTCACGAAACATCAATCTGTGTTTGGTCCTTAAATTACCACAGCTCTGTTTTGCTCTTGATGTGTAGATTTCATAGAAAGGTGAAACTATTTCTCTTTCAGACCTTCATCCCCCATGTGTCGTCACCGAGCTGCCAGGAGGCCGATAGCCAACTGCTAACGTTTGATTGAATTATCCCTCAACATGATGTGGCAGTAAACTGTTATTCCTCCATCTTACCAGCCCTCCACCGTCTCGCCCCTGAGCGACGACTTTCATCCTCTCTCATTTCTCTGCTGTCATACACACACTAGCACTCGTCTGCTACTGCGACGGTTTCGGCCTTTTGCTCATTTATGGCTCTGTATTCCCGACAGGCTGTCTGATTCCTGAGGGGAGGCCCATGGTCGAATTTACAGCTATATATAAATATATATGAGCGTGTGGTTCTCTCAGATTGAAAACATATACCTGTGACGATTGCCTGCTATGAAGTTCATTCCAGGGCTAATGCTGTTTTTCCTCCCCATCTCGTCGGTTCTTTCAAAGAAAACGCATCCTATTTTAGGGCATGAGAGATATATGGTGAAGAGCGGGGTAAATATTTGAGAGTTATAGCAGGCTCCGTTTCACAGATTAATTCAGTTGGTTTTCTTCACCGGCCAGTGTGGAGTGGATTCACAGCTGGTAGGTTTATTTTAGTTCAAGACTAGTGGTTTGAGCTTTTGAGGATGCTTTTTCACTTCTGTTTTTTTGTTGCAGATGCAGTTCTGGAAACTAAGAATGTTCATTGACCAATTTCTTCAGAGACGAGTTTCAAGGAGAATTCATTATCAGGTAACTAGGAAATTATGGGCCTATTTACACCTGGTTACTTTATGTGTTTTGAATAGATCGGATAGCTGTCTGATATATGTAAACATTTCTATTTGACCACATAAATTTGTCTTTACGAAACATACAGTTGAAGTCCGAATTATTAGCCCTAATTTGAGTTTTTATTTTTAATATTTTCCAAATGATGTTGAACAGAGCAAAGAATTTTTCACAGTATGTCTGATAATATTTTTTCTTCTAGAGAAAGTCTTATTTGTTTTATTTCGGCTAGATTAAAATCAGCTGTTAAATTTTTAAACACAATTTTAGGACAAAATTATTTGCCCCTTTAAGCTATCTTTTTCCCCGATAGTCTACAGAAAAGAAAAAAAAAATACAATAACTTGCCTAATTACCTTAACTTGCCTAGCTAACCCAATAAACCTAGTTAAGTCTATAATTGTCACTTTAAGCTGTATAGAAGTGTCTGGAAAAAAATCTAGTCAAATATTATTTACTGTAATCATGGCAAAGATAAAATAAATCAGTTATTAGAGATGAGTTATTAAAACCAATGTTTAAAAAATGTGTTGAAAAAATCTCTCTGTTAAACAGAAACGGGAAAAAAATAAATGGGCTAATAATTCTGACTGCAACTGTATATGATTCTGATCTTCAAATCCTGCACTGTATGCAAATTAAACTAGTTTACGTTGACTAAAGAGTCAGATACACCTGCACCTTTCATTATGTACAGAAGCGAAAGCTATATATCTTATTTGCCATACAAATTATTTTAGATGCAGGCTGCAAAACATCACAAATACATAAGCCGAGCTACATGATCACTGTCATTAAAGCTGAATAAAACCTTTATTTTTGTTATACAAGACAACCTTTAAAACGGGGCTTACATCATTTTTTGTACAACCTACTCTCCAAAAAACAAAACAAATTGCTTTTATCTTATTGCTATTTCTTTGCAAAGATATAGGCTACTGCATCTTTGTTGTTGGGTAATGCCGATATTTGATAATAATTTAACATAATTTATCATTTCAGGGTCAAAAATCAAACACAATGAAAAAAGAAAAACAAAAACACCCCAATCACTTCTGTTGCTTATGCATTTGCACTTGTATATCTGACAGTCATGAACAGTAAAAAATGCAGGGTTCCACACATTGCATTAATGTTGTCCCAACACAAATCGATTAAGTTAACTTAACACCTTTAACAAATATATGTGTATTAAACATAAAAAATTAAGTTGTCCCAATGAATTATCAATAATTGTGGTGTTTCAGCTCATTTTAATTAAGTAGTTTGAACAAATAATATGCATTTTTGAGAGTATAGCCTACAACACATGCACTGTCATGTAAATTTCTTTATTTTTGGGAGGAATAAAATTTTCACATATGGTTTTAACAACCAGATGCATTTATTAGACTTGTCTGGAATGCATCCTAGACCACCTCATGAAGTTATTTGAGCAATCAGATTTATATCCGTTGTGTTAAAGAGGGCATTTACACATGTCTATTTCACAATCAGATAGCTATGCCATCAGTAGGGCCAGACGAAATCTGCAGACATTTTTGCTATTTCTACGGAGAATTTTGGTAAAAATCTGTGGATTTCTGCTGAATTATTTTGAGAGTATCATAACTACAACATTTATATGTGAAATAAAAAATATCTTTTTAGCTTTTATTTAATGTTTAAAATGCAAATCCAATTAGATTAACTTTATCTGGTAAACATAGTAAGTCTCATAGTAAGAAAATATGACTGCACAAACTGCATTGTACAAAAATCAGATGAACAATTTCATATTAGTCAATAATATTACTGTAATTAATTTAAAAACGGAATAAACTTACATTTACTCAAGTGAATAAACAGAATTAATGATGGGCTAAAAATCTGCGAAAAATCTGCGCGCGCAGATTCTGTGTGGGCCTGGCCATCAGGAAAAAAAAATATGCATGAAGTGACCAGGCATAAAGATCACCTATACAGCAAGTCATCACATTAACAAAAAATCCTCATTATTCATTGTCAGTAGTGTAGAGATGCATAAAGTACAGCACAAACTAAAGTGACCTACAAGCCAAGCACTTTTTTGTTAGCACAGTGAATCTATGTTGGAAACTTTTCAGCCGAGCTAAAACTCCCAATTAGATTTCAATCAGAATGATTTTTTAATGCTAAGGTTTGCTGAGAAAGGATAATGTAACTACTGTGTGCCTTTGCACGAGTTAACTCTGAATGCTGTCACACCAGTTCCAGGCCCTCAACAGGAACTCCAGAATCCCTTTATACATCCGTGTTTGAGTTGGAGAAACTGCTTTATCATCCACCAAACAGCCACCAGTCAAGCCTGCACCATTATGAAAGTCCACTTGCACTATAAGGTATGCAAAACAACAGTTGCGCCTAGTTTTTTACGTAATATTGGGTGGATAAAAACATGTGCATCTGCACTTTAGAAATTCTGTCATTCCATCTAGTGAGTTTGTGATATTTTAAGAAATCTTGTGCCTTTTTTTGAGTCCAAAATGCATCAGACTGCCACCGGAGACTATATGTTTGTCTATTTCGAGTACTGTGCAAAAGGCTGCTAGAATTTTCACCAATAATTTTTTTTAAAGTTACCTATTTCTATATTTTTCTGTAGCATGTTTTTTAAAATATTAATTTACATTCACAAACATGATCTCGACAGATCTTCACGGCTGCTTCGTGATCCAGTCTCCATGTATCTGTGTTGGCACAGGGTGAAGAGCGGTAAACTGATGAGCACTGGTGAAAACTAAAGTAAATCAGCACTGTTTATGAACGCACTCATCGCCGCTTGAATGTTAGCGGGAAATGGATATTTTTAAAACTTCAGTGCGAGGGTGTGCTACAGAGGACTGCAGTGTTTTATCACTCACCGGGTTACATAGGCTGAAGCTGGGAAGCGTCCCCACGGTGTTTAACTGATGCCATGAACTGAAGCCTAGGAGAACACTTGAGCATATCACTCTTACAGAGATTGTGATGTTGTTTGATGCTAAATTGCTTTTAATTGTTAAAATTAAACTTGCTGAATGATATTAAAGTGGTGTTTACACCATTTCTGCATTTTGAAATCTCGGCAACAGCTGGAGGTTTGTAGTCCACAGCATGTTACTGCAATGTTTACAGTGCTGGTCCTATACTTCTGGGTTTATTCCCACTGCAGCCTCGCTTTGGTTCTCTGAAATGGCGGCCGCGTGAAATAAGCGTATACCTCGAGAAGTACATGTTACGATGCAATAACTTAAAAAAATACCAATACTTTAATATATATATATATATATATATATATATATATATATATATATATATATATATATATATATATATATGTACTATAATTCTTATTCTAAAATGTTTCCCTTTACTATAAATTACTATAGTATTTTAAATGTGTAACAGCTGGTTTTATTGTATTTATTGTACTGTATTTAGTACAGCATATTATTTACTGTAAATAACTGACTAACTATTCTGCCTCAGATGTTTCATTGACAGTTTTATTGATCACTAAAATATTTGATTGACTTGGATTTAAATTGCTTCGATTTAAAAATGAAAATTGTAAAAATAGCTTAGATGTAGCCATGTAGCTTTTAGCCTAGCTTGCTGCATTTCCCAGGGGGTAGCTTTTAGTGTAGTTAAGCTACATTTTAGATAGAGTAGCTAATAGCTTAACTCACTACATTTTTCCAAGTAGCTTGCCCAACACTGCTCGGTACACTTGCCCTTGGTTTTTCAGGAAGCTTAGCAAGTACGTGTTTTGAAGCATCTTAGAGATGTTGGCAAAGATCTTCTGGATTGAGTTTGTTTCTTCATGTCATTCCAGACAGACTGGATGGTGATCAGTTCAGATCTATGTGTGGAGCGGTGGCTGTTGTCAGACAATAATCTCACTGTATAAGTGAAGTTTATTTATAAACTAATTTCGAGAGGATCACGTGCTTATGATTGCCAGCGGCTGGATGTGCGTTATCCAATTCTCAATGCACCAGTCAGACGACTCCTAAGCTACTACAAATACCCTGAGTGACGTACCACTGCTATCTTCGTTTTGAAGAATCCCCCCATCCACCCCTACTCCTTCCTAGATGGGTGACACGGTGATCCAGTGCTTAGCGATGTTGCCTCACAGCAAGAATGTCTCTGGTTTCAGGCTTTACCATCAGACGTTTCTGTGCGGAGTTTGCACTTACTCATGTGGGTTTCCCCAGTTTTCCAGTTACCTCCCACCCTCCAAAAACATGCGACTTAAATGAATTGACTAATCCAAATCGCCACTATAGACATGCTCCTAGTCAGTAGTTATCTCTTAAGAGCGATCACTATCTGTTCATTAACTACTACAGCAGGGGAGTTCTCTAGATCTACCTGAGCTCAAACTCCCCTCTCGCCTTGTAAACAGGAGGTAGCCCCTGGCTCGAGGATCTTTTGAGCTCAGGGCTCTCTCCTGGGACAGCATGCCAAAGTAGCTTATAATTAATCATCAGTTAAGTGTGAACTCTTGAATTACAATTAAGGACAATAATAATGTTTGGAAATGTAAATTGATCACATGCTACAGAAAAATATAGAAATAACTGACTTTAAATCTTTTTTTTGGTGTAAAACTACTAGTGGCCTTAGATTTTTGCACAGTACTGTATGTCTATATGTTCAGACACGAGGTTATTGTAGCTGCAGGCCACCTGCACAGTCATCTTGACTCGAGAGCATCATTACACACTCATTACACACCTGCGGACTGAGTGCAGGTCACAGGGCATGCGGTCAGCTCACATCAAAGCTGCTCGTCTGTCTAGGGCCAGACATCTTTGCACTCCCATCCTACGCAGCACTAAAGTGGACAGTCTACCTCATCTCTCTTGCTTCATTTCGTCAGAATTTTAGACCAAAATAAAACTATTACCTGTGAACGAACTAAAGCCTACTGCAAAAGAAGGGAGTTTTTATTATAGCACAAAGTTTGGACTCCTGTATAAATGCATCCTGCAATTCTGCATTCTAGTTGTGACACAACCAAAGTTGCAAGTGTCATTTATTTCTGGCATATGACCCAAATTTATAGCATAGCAATCCTGAGCTGAGTGGGGCAGAAAAAGTTTTTATAAGGGGTAGTTAAATGCATTAACAAAAGCATTGCCTCCCCCTTGTGTTTGCTTCAAAATACACCTAAAGTCTGCGCAGTTGAAAGTGAATGTATTCTGTTAATGCAAGTGTTGTGTAAGTTAATGCAATATAGTGGTACAAATATGTAATTTTAAAACAGTCTCGGCACTAATCTATCTAATCCATTACCATTTTCTCGAGCGCACTTATCCTAATTCAAAATATTTTGTTTGGGAAATAGATCTGTAGTTTGGTCGCGCATCATTTACTCTTCTCCGCACTGTCAGAGCTGTACTGTCGATAATCCAATTGCAATTTCAAATATAACATGCTACGTAATTTAAACTATTTGTATTGTCACAGTTGCATTGATTGGTTTTGCTTTTATTCCTTCAACTCTGTGCTTTGTGCTTGTGATTTATATGAATTAAAAAAAAATATGTATTGCTTCAGGTTTGTTGTATTATTAGCCCAGCAGGGGCGGAGTGCATTGTATGTTATCTATTACTCCGGCAGGTTTAGTTTAGTCCCTCAGGCCATAAACCAGCAAGCACACAAGCCACAGCCAAATGACACATATATGTTTGCATGTGATGCCAAGAAATCAAAGTCTTACTCTCCTTCACGTACTTGGGTGAATGTGCATGTGTGTGTGTGTGTCACCACTGTAGAGCTGAATTATGGATTTGTGTGATGAGCAGCCTCTGGGAGATGTGTGTTATTCCAGCGTGTCAGGAAATAGAGTGGGTGGACGGGATTCTGATTAGAGCCGGAGCTAAGATAGAGAGACAGATCTATGGTTTCTATATCCGTCCCTGAACAGAGAGAGATGTGCCTTATCATAGACACCGACAGACACCCCGTACACTCGACTCTGTCCGTATCAGTCAGCTGAGGACCACACAAACACACACACACACACATGTATGTGCGATAGCAGCCATTTATCAAGCGCTGACAACTCACATTCGCCGCTGCAGGACTGCACGCTTTCTCTTTATTTTCGTCCGATGTCTCCATCGTGTCGTTGTCAAAGGGTCTGAGCGCTATGTAATATGCTGAGCCAGATCCATTGGTACGGGAAAGACGGTGGTAAGTTACGTAAATGTATAAAAGGAGACAGATCGGCTTTTTTTACATTCTCAATTTTCTGCCGCTTGATTAAACTTGCTGCAGGATCAATCCCCACTCTGAATCTAAAATCAATTTTGATAGTGTCTCTAAAAAAAAAAAAAATGAGCACCCTAAAACACATCAACCTGTAGGAGGCTGATTGTGTTACAGAGAAATAGAAAGGCAGTTTTAAAATGGAAACATCTCTGAGACTGCAGAAATGTCTCTCAGTAGCTCATAACCTCAGCGTAATGTTTGCTAAGGCATTTAAACAAAGCTCTAACAGTGAATATTAAGGTCTGCTAGACTTTTCCTTTTTCTCCTGTTGTTCATTTAATACATTTTTGAATGCAGACCTTTATTTGAAGCTCGTTCACACCAAAAACAATAACTATAAACACATCATTAACAATAAAACTTGCATCTATTTGCACTATTCCCTATAAAGTCAAAGTACAATGACTACACAAACACTACAACTGAGGAAAATCCCTTTACTGTTTTTACACCAGTCAGTCAAGCATGTTGTGGCTGGATCAGTGGTTTTGTTTTTCTGAAACTGGACAAAATTTAACCTTGAGTCTTAGTCACAAGACAGAACAGAAGGGGTATAGCCCATTGTAGGGCTTAAAGGGATACTTCACCCAAAAATGTACATTTTGTCATCATTTACTCTGCCTTTACTTGTTTCAAACCTTCATGACAATCTTTATTCTTTTAAACACAAGAGAAGATATTTTGAAGAATGCTGAAAACCTGTAACCTTTGTCTTCCATAGTATTTGTTTACTATGGAAGTCAATAGTTACAGGTTTTAAGCTTTCTTCTGTGTTCAACAGAAGAAAGAAACTCGTAAAGATGTAGAACCACTTGAGGGTGAGTAAATGAGTAAATTTTATTTTTGGGTGAACTATCCCTTTAACTCAATTTTGACCAAATGTGTAGTTATTACACTTTGCCTTTGTATGGCAGAATGGATCATGCCCCCTTACCCTCCCCACTTATACATTGCACATTACTGCATTCGCATACCAGCTGGAAATCTACTGTCTTTTGCTAAAAGATGCACAAATACACAATGTTCCAGCCTAGGGGAAGGTTATGTACATTAACAATGATTTAAGACAAATGTAGTGTAATTAAACACTGTTATGTACTGGCAGCGCTGTGGCACGGCAGGATTTTTGAAAAGCATCCTGAGACGCTGGCAGACACCGATTGACACCACTGGTGTGAGCAAATTCTCACAAAAAACTTTTGAATTTTAAAGACATGGTGCTGTGGTGCGCCGACCTCCTTAACTGTCGCCACTACCAATTACCCAACTGTAAAGCTGCGGTCACGATGCAATTTTCACCCCATAGACTTCCATTCATACACATGCGAATGTGGCCGACCGGAAATGCAAGATTCTCATGTCGCTGCATTTCAAAGCTTCGTGAACTTCTGACAGTTGAAATTGCATCATGTGACTGCGAAATTATAATATGAAGCAGTCCTTCGTTTATCAATGTCTAATCATCTTCTTGTATTCCGCCCCTTTTCAGAGCATCGTACACCAGAATTTTTCCATGCTCAAACTCTAGTGTGACCACAGCTTAAGTGGCACCACTAAAGAACCTGCACTATGATTTTTGGTGTGGAGTCCTGCAATGGCAGATTGAGTGTAGAGCAAACACATCCAACTAAAGCGTTGTATATAGTATTATACTGTTTATTGTGCATTGCAGTATCTTCGTCTAGCACTTTAAATGCTCAAGCTGGTTGGATTCTGATTTGCTGTCAATGTTTTTTTGAATCATGGAAAAATGGTTCCTAAAGCAGTCCCAATGATATTGTTTGTCTGTGCATTTATCGTGTACTGGTTATTAGCTATTTACAATTCAAAGTATTTTTAAAAACTATATATGTTTTATAATTTTTATTTATCACCCTTAGTTTTAATGGGCTTTTAAATGTTTGCTTTCTGGCCAAAAGGGAAATTGGGGGTTACGTTGAATTGAATGCATAAATGTTTTTGATGCATGGATGGATAGAAAGCATATTGAATGCAAATGTCAAATTGTATAGATAATTTAAGAATTATCTATGAATAATTTAAGAATATAAAAATGTCAAAATTTGGGTGAAAGTGTTCTATTAGGATTTACAGCAACAAATATTAATGCAAAAATAAACAGTATTATTACTCTGAGCTATGCTTATTAAAATACAGATTAAATATATTAAGAGGTTAAATTTATTAAAATCATCAAGCTGAAAGATGAATTAAACCCAGTGGTTTGAAGGACAAGCATTTAAAATGATATTCTTTGACCCATGTAGCCCAATCTGCACTGTAATCAGATTAGAAATAAGCAAGCTAAAACACAGAAATCTTCTACAACACAAGATTATGTTTTTGCTGGTACACAAGAGCTTTGTTGCTAGAAACGCAAGAGCCACAAACCCTAATATCCTGTATTTTGCATTCTTGCAGCGTAGGCTTGATTCAATCTATCATGAACTATCAGCTTAGAAATCATTGGGCACCTTCATCAGAGCTACAGATCTCATTTTCCTGTCGTATTTTCCACACTCACAGAGTCAGGTAGCTCCAAATCATTTCAGCAGATCCTCAGGCCATGTAACGCAGTGGAAAAATAAGGATTTATACGAGGAATGCATATATTATCCATCATAAAGGTGTTCTCGGGGCATTTACCTTTTCTTATCTGCCATATCGTATATTGAAAATAATTTTAACCACACTTATAAAACGAATCTACTCCAGATTTATTTATTTAGATATTATAGTCCATTAAAATGCATGCATTATATAAAACCGTTTGCAGCCTTAGGGTTTGTGTGATGCAATCTAGCAGTCAGGATTTTATAGCGATGGCCAGGATCCTGGAGTCAAATCTTGTGTTGGTCCTGATCCAGTAATTACATGAGCCTACATGAGACGAAATATCACCTTATATCGATGAAAATTAAGGTCTGATACAGTATGTAGGATTTATTCTCATTGCTGAAAATAATAATTGTCATAATGGTCACACTTTACAATAAGGTTGCATTAATGTTAGTGAATGTGTTTACTGACATCAACAAAGAATTAATAACACGTATACAGCATTTATTAAGCAATAGTTCAACATTTTGTAATGCATTATTGAAACCCAAATTCATGCTTGTTAACAGTAATGCATCATGTGATAAGAACAAACAAAGAGCAGCTTTATTTTTATCAACTGACATTAGTAAATATGAATAAATACTGTAATACATGTATTGTTCATTGTTTATTTGTGCTAGTAAATACATTAACTAATAACCCCATTGTAATGTTAAGTGTTACTGTATTTAAGTAAATTAACAAAAATAATTATTGTTTATAGTTACCATTCTTACCGTAATCTGTTATTATAACCAACCCAGGCTCATCATTGCAACAAATTCCTTTATGCATTTCTGGAGATTGCAAAATACGTCCCAGGAGGTACCTTTTTGTTGCAGGTTTGTTTTTGCGAATCCACCAGAGGGCGCAGTGTATGCTTTTTTGAGATCTTAAATTTCCCTCCCAAGTGTCATTCATGCCTGCTGTTCACGCGTAAATCCACCAAAGGCCGATGTCAACTGACTGACTGATCTCCCCAACCCTCTCTAAACCCAACAGTAAAGAAAAGCCCGCGTCTGATTAATATCAAGTTTTCAGATCTTACTACATTCTCACTCTGTTATTTACTTTTCTATTTTATTTTTTGTCTTTTGTTTTTGTCTATGCCACTTTCTGGAACCAGACTCAAACCTCTTCAGCTTGATCAACTCCTCTGCAAGTCTACTGACGTATATTGCGAGCTACTGGGCAAACTGGGAACAGCAGAAAAGCTGTCCTCACAGAGGTAAGCGGTCAGCTGGTAGCATGTCAAGAAATAAAAGGCGTCGTTAGCATCATGCCCCTTTTGTTGCGTTCATTTAAAAGAGAAAAATGCAGCCATACGTAGCTCTGGCTACATAACTCGTGCTTTCCAGGAATGTATACAGGGGTATGTATTCACAATGAGCCTGTGTTGATTATAACATGTAAATGACCAGTTGTTTGGATATTATTTTATTATAGTTAAATATGAAAGAATAAATATGCTTGCATATGAAAGATTAAGTGATCAAAGGAAATATTAAATCAACATACTTTAAAGCAGGGGTTACCAACATGGTGCCCACGGGCACCAGGTAGCCCGCGAGGATCACATGTGTTGCCTGCAGGCTTCATCTAATATAGAAGTAATCATTTAAAAATGTAAATATTTGCAGAGATATATAAAAATAAAGTGTTGCACATTGATACATTAAATACAGGGTATTTCCTACCCTGTTAAATCATTGCTGATAACTTTCGTGAGAATCATTAACATGATCAGTGTCTTCACATGGATGAATATCATTAATTATTAACAAAAACATAAAGTATAATTGAAAGTAAATTGAGCAAATTTGTTATTTGAGAAGTGTATCAAACTGGTAGCCCTCCACATTAATCGGTACCCAAGAAGTAGCTCTCAGTTTCATAAAGGTTGGTGACCCCTGCTTTAAAATATACTGGCAGAGTGAAAAAAAAAAAATCATGAAGGATTTTCTGGACAAGCAAAACCTATTGTCTTGATTTAAGAAGTAATGTGCCAAGATTAAGTGAGTTTTTCCTTTAAACAAGCAAAATAATCTGCAAATGGGGTAAGCGAAGTAATCTTATGTCAAATGGAAAAAGAAGTTTTGGCTATGCTGGCGTCATTTGCAGACTATTTGGCTTATTTTAAGGAAAAACTCACTTAATCTTGACACATTTTTTTTAAACAAGACAATGTTATTTGCTTGTCTAGAAAATGCTTTTTGATTCATGCATATTAAAATATTTGGGCTAGAACAACTAAGTAAGAAAGCTAAGACAGCTGCAGTAATATTTAGCAAAACTGTGATTCTTGTACTAAAATGCCTGTAAAATGTTTACATATAAACTGCCTGAGGAACTCTTCTGTAAATCATGGCAAAATGTATAATAGACTTTATTTTTGCTGAGAAAAAAAATAATGTTTGAAAAAAAAGTAAATTTTGAATGTTAAGATGCATAAAGCCCCCCTTTTGCCTTTAACTCATTTATTAGAATAGCTTAAAGAACAGGGTGTCTGCGGGGTCTTAAAAACTATTAAAAGTTGATAAGACAATTATGAGAAATGTAAAGCCCTTAAAAGGTATTAAGGATCTTAATCACATTTTTACAAGGTCTTAAATTTTGTTCAAGTATTATCCAAAGTGTTTGACTCTAAAAATGCATACATATGTTTATTTTCCATCTAATATTAACAACAGCATGCTCGAATCACGTGATTAGTTTAAGATTGGGGCATGTTTGGCCAAGCTCCTCCATCCGGGCATTGCAATAATAATATGTAAAGTGATGAAATGTAAGTTTGCATGCTCCCGGTTGGAGAAAGATGAGTTTAAACAGTGGCTGAAGCCTGTCACTAAAAACAATCACATATTTTTTTCTTTCAAGCATAGTTTCTTCCGAGTTTATCTGAGTTCTCCATGGTTGTGCACTTATTTAACTACAACTGTTTATTAATAACTGTTTATTAAGTTAAAGGTTTGATGCTGATTAGAGCTTGAAGTGGCGATGTGGTCTCAAAATATTCTTAAAAGGTCTTTAAAAAGTCTTAAAATAGTATTGAAATTACCTTTAGGATTCCTGCATATACCCTGAAGAAATTGTCCACCCACAAATGTTAATTTCTTCACATTTACTCACACTGAAGTGGATCTAAACTTTTATATATTTTTTCTTTTGAACACAAAGGAAAAGATACTCTAGATATTCTGTGGGAAAAAAACAGCCATTGACTTCCATAGTATTGTTTGTTTATAGTATGTTTATTCCACCATTCTTGAGTATATCTTCCTTTGTGTTCAACAGAAGAAAGAGAATGAGTGGAGATTAAAGTGAATGATGACTGAATAATTGTTATTTTTTTGCATGAACTGTCCCTTTAATACAGAAAGCTCTGAGAAAACATAGTTTGCATCGGCCACACGCTTCATTTTCTATGCTGTTTCTGCTCAATTGAATCAGTCACGGCCGCTGTAGGAATTGACCTGAGATTTTGCATCAGCAGCGTTTGAAAGAGAAAAGGCCGTTAATGATTTAGATGCGTGTGTGTTTACGGCGGGCATCCAACCGTGCCACTGTGTTTCTGTCTCTTTCATATTTTATGAAAAACCAGACCCTCGTAGCAGGGGAGAATCTGTGAGAATGCTCTTTGTGTGTGTGTGTGTGTGTGTGTGTGTGTGTGTGCGTGCGCTTTTGTTTGTGTCTGCACGAGTTATGATGCTTATTTTTTTACCAACATATAGATCTCTGGTTACTATGGTGATGAGCCTCCCATTAGCAAAGTACCACTGATGATGATGATGATGGAGGTGATGTCATAATAGCAGAGATGTCTCCAGGGTCCTACAGACCTTCCCAGAACTCTTCCATACTCAGGTATACCTAGAGCTTAAACAAGTTGCTCACTTCTGAGGCAGCAAAAGTGAGTATTTAGAAGGCAGCGACTCTGAAAGTGAATTTGCATAATAGCATGAACTGAGAACTTGGCTCACAAATGATTCCCGGTAGAGTTTGATGTTGATTTGACTAACGATTAAATTAAAACACAAAAACACAAAACACATGAAAAAATATAGGTATTTACTAAAATAAAGAACATAAAATGTATTTGATTTCAGCTCATTGCCAAAGCAACATTTCTGTTTATCAGTTAGTTTAGTCTTGATGTTCAAGTTAAACTGAAAATTTTTCAGATGCATTTTTCATTTAGCTTCATTTTATGTAGTAAAATAACTAAAGCTGAAATAAAAATGTGTAAGAGCCACAGTACATTTATGTTTTTGTGACAAAACATCGAATTTTGACAACAACATAATTACAAAAGGCTATAAGAAATTAAATTGAACATAAAAATAAAGATTTATTTAATAATAAAATAAATATGTTAAAATCATTAAAAGTATATACATCAACATGTAAACTAAAATAGTCATATATGAAATGAAAAACTTAGCAACAATTTCTTAGTTAAACTTGATGTTCATTCATTCTTTTTCTTTTCGTCTTTGTCCCTTTATTAATCAGTTCATTCCACAGTGGAATGAACCGCCAATTTATCCAGCATATGTTTTATGCAGCGGATGTTCTTCCAGCTGCAACCCATCACTGGGAAACACTCATACACTACTGAAAATTTAGCTCACCCAATTCCCCTACAGCGCATGTGTTTGGACTGTGGGGGAAACTGGAGCATCCGGAGGAAACCCACGCCAACACAGGGAGAACATGCAAACTCCACACAGTAATGCCAACTGACCCAGCCAGGGTTCAGGGTTGTGAGGCGATTGTGCTACCCATTGCGCCACCATGATGCTCTAAACGTTATGTAAGAAAAGCAATAACTAAAAATAGATAGATATATAAAATGAACAAAAATTAGAAAAAGTATATATAAACAAACTGATATAATGGAGCTTCCAAAGCAGCACTTCATTTATTTATGTTCATTTATTTATTCATTCGTTCATTTATTTTTCTTCGGCTTAGTTCCTTATTTATCAGGGGTCACCAACAGGGGACAATGAACCGCCAACTATTCCAGCATGTTTTACACAGCGGATGCCCTTACAGTCGTAACCTAGTGCTGGGAAACACCCATACACGCTTATTCAAACACACACACACAGACTAATATTCATTCATTCATTTATTTTCTTGTCGGCTTAGTCCCTTTATTAATCCACAGCGGAATGAACCGCCAACTTATCCAGCAAATGTTTTACACAGCGGATGCCCTTCCAGCGGCAACCCATCTCTGGGAAACATCCACACACACACACACACACACACTACGGACAATTTAGACTAACCAATTCACCTGTACCGCATGTGTTTGGACTGTGGGGGAAACCGGAGCACCCGGAGTAAACCCACGCGAAGGCAGGGAGAACATGCAAACTCCACACAGAAACGCCAACTGTGCCGAGGTTCAAACCAGCGACCTTCTTGCTGTGAGGCGACAGCACTACCTACTACTCTACTGCCTCGCCCCACACACTTATATACTACCGTCAATTTAGTTCATCTACAGCACATGTGTTAGGACTGTGGGGGAAACCGGAGCACCCGGAGGAAACATGCAAACTCCACAGTGCTAACCACTGAGGCACCATGCCGCCCTTATTTATTTATTCAGTTTAAATGTAGTTTATAAAATAATTAAAACTATAACTTTGGTCGGATCAGCATTTCTCTTTTTTTGTTTTGAACATTGAAAAATAACTAAAACTACAATAAGAATGAAAAAGAGACAAACTATATAGAAACACTTAACAAAAAAATTTAAACCTGTAAATAAAATTAGGGTAAAATGTAACAAAATAAAGAATATTGGTAACACTTTAGTTTAGGCCACAATTCACAGTATTAACAAACCATTAACGAGCACTACTAGCTTAATCTATTAACTAGCTGTTTATTCATATTCAGGTCAAGTCAAGTTGGGTTTAGGTAGGATTAGGGATGCAGAATAAGATCATACTTTATTACTACTAATGAACAGTTTATATCTTACCAATAGGCAGGTAATAAGCCAGTAGTTAATTGCATGAATTGTGACCTAATCTACAGTGTTATCTAAATATTGAATAAAGAATATCTAATATGACCTTCAAACTTTTTATCATTCCAAAAATATGTATTGATTGAGAAGATTTCCCATGCATGGTTTTACTTTTGTTTCTCTTATCCTTGACTGTTTGATGTCAAGTTAGGGTGAAGTGCAGTAAAATAGGTTTCAAATGGGGCTTCATGCTGAATTTGATCTGCTGTCTGGGTGGACAGGTATTGACTGTGTTAAATGGTCTTTTCTCACATGTGCA